GAGTGGGAAGGTGGAGGTAGGGAGTGGGAAAGTAGGGGTTTGGGAATGGCCCAGGCAAGATAAAGACATCTTGAATTACAAGTGGTACCAGAAGGTGGGAACTTGCATATGTCAATTCCCACAAAAAGAACAGCTCTCTTATGCAAAAAATCCAACGCCTATCCAGTGTGGGAACATGGGCAGATATTGACTGAATGGCGTAAAAAAGCCTAGCCCACCCTAACCACCAGGCAAAAGCTCCTAGGTCCTGTCCTACAGCAGGCTCAAGTCAAGAAACTTAATCTGCATTCCATTATAGTCACATCTTAAGAGCATATAGATGCAACCACACAGTATGTTACCAAAAAAGAGGGAGGTGGGACCCAAAAAGAAGGAAAACAAAGCAGACTAGGGGGAAAAAATCCCAACACACCAAACAAATGGCAACCCAAAGAGCACATGTGGCCATACTAATCTATGATAAAGCAGACTCTGGAGTAAAAAACAGCACAAGAAACAAGGACAGAACACTTAAAGACACAACAGAGTAAGAGGGCATACTCTTAATTAATGTCTATGCACCAAATGATACAAGAGCAAAATATACAAAACAAATACTAACAGATTTAAGAAACAGACAATGCAAAAGTAGGTGACTTCAACAAGGATAGGAAAACTAGAAAGAAACTCAAAGATGCAGAAGGCCTAATTCAACCACATAGACATACAAAGAGTACTCCACAAAATTAATCCTAATTTACATTCTTCTCAAGCACATGCGGTACTGTGCGTGTTCTCTCGAACTGACCATTTGTTAGGGTGAGCCTCAGTTAATTCAAAAGCATGGAAACACTATATATCTTCTAAGATCACAATCCTACAGTTGTTGTTAAGTGCTGTCAAGTAGTAGGCGACTCATATAAACAAGAGTCCTTGACACTTGCGTGACTTTCATCCTTTCTCCAGATTCGGTAGGGTTTCCCCAAGGCAAGCTATTTTAGGAAGTGGATGCCACTCCTGCTTCCAAGCTTGTTTTAACCGGGGAATGCCACCAAACACTGTCCACCATGGGAAACCATTATTGCATTTGACACGTCAATGTCACAGTGTTCAGCTTCACAGCGACCACAAGTTACCTCTGTATGGCAAGTAGACACACCAGGGTTATATGACCTAAAAGAATGTTTCACCAAAAACAATGAAAGACAGGCCTGAGGGCCCTACAGTATTTTAAGCTACTGCTTGGAGCAAGCTCCGCAGGCTCTGCCCTTACTTCCCCTTAGTTTAAGGCTCTGGGCTGCCCAACCACTTTTAAAGGGCAAAAAAGAGCAGTAACACACAGTAAAAAGGACCCCAGAAACTTCCCTTGCCTTAACTGCACAATCATACTAAACTAGAAATTGGGTAAAGGAGAAAAAAAAAAAAGATCTATGTGGAAGCAACACATTGCTTGCGGACTACGGGATTGTTGTTATTATGTACCGTCAAGTCCCTTGCGACAGAGACCTTAAGTACAACAGCCTTTGAAACCTGCTCTATCCTGTGCCAACTTTACTGGCTCTGACTCAACACCTACCCTCATTACTCCAGTCACTGTATTCATCCATCTTATTTCCCTCTTTCTCCATCCCTCCACCTCTTCCAAGCATGGCATCCCTCTCCAAGGACTGGTCCCTTCTTGTAATATGCCCAAAGTATGTCAGACAAAGCCTCAAAAACCCTGCCTCTAAGAAGTAGCCTGGCTTCACTCTCTCTAGGATGAACAAACCTATTTGTTCTCCTGGCTGTCCACGGTATGGTCAACATTCTTCTCCAGCACAACAGCTCAAAAGCATCAATTCTCTTTCTATCATCCATAGTCATCGTCCAGCTCTCTGACGCATAGCAAGCAACTGTGAAGACTATGGCCTGGATCAGGCACATCTTAGTCTCCAGACTGACGTTGCTCTTCAGTACTCTGGAGAGGTCTATGACAACTGACCAATGCAATTTGTCTCTTGATTTTTTGGCTGCTGGTACCAAGAGTGTTGACTGTAGAGCCAAACAAACTAAAGCTGTTAACAGTCTTAATCTCTTCACCATCATGATGCTACCAATTGGTCCAGTGGTGAGAATCTTTGTTTTCTTGATGTTGAGCTTCAATCCCTCTTGAAGGCTGCAGTCCTTGGTCTCCTGCAGTAAATGCTTCAGGACCTCCTCATCTTCAGCAAGCGGGGTTGTGTCATCATCTATGTAATGCAGGTTGTTGATGAGTAGTCGTCCAATCCTCATGCCACATTCTTCCTCATATAGTCCATCATCCTGGATAATCTGTTCTGCATATAGACTGAAAAGTTATGGTGACAGAATACATCCCTGGCATACTCCCTTCCCTATTTTGAGCCATGCAGTGTCTCCTTGTTCTGTTCTAATGACTGCCTCCTGGTCCAAGTATAGGTTTCACATAAGCACAATCAAATGTTCTGGGATTCCCATTTTTCTCAGAGTCAGCCACAGTTTGTTGTGATCCACACAGTCAAACACCTTTGCACAGTCAATGAAACACAGATAGATATTCCTCTGGTACTCTCTGCTTTCAGCCAAGAAGAAATAAAAAAATGAAATTAAAAATTCTTTGAAATAAAAACGAAAGTACAATGTATCAAAACCCTTCGGATAAAGCAAAGGAAGCACTTAGAGGTCAACCTATAGCAATAAACATTTAAAAAAGGAAGGAAAAAAGTAATACCTAATTCAGTGTCTACAACAAAGAGAAAAAGAGTAAGCAATTTGGCCAATGGTTCGCCAATTTTATTGACTCTTTTGAAGAACTTCTAGTCTTGTTAATAGTGTTGCTTATTTTTCTGTTTTATACTACCATACTTCTGTACTTATCTTTATAATTTCCTTTCTTCTAGAAGATGTAAAATAATAGCAATCTTGCGGAGTTGGTACTTTGAAAGGGTCAATAAAATTGGCAAACCACTGGCAAACTTAACAAAGGAGAAGAAAGAAAAGCCATAATAACTTGAATAAGAAATTAAAGACATTATGTCACAACAGAACCAACCAAAGTGAAAATAATACTTGCACAGTATTATAAAAAAGTGATACTCTGATAAGTTTGAAAATCTAAGATGAAATAGACACATTCTTAGAAACTCACATGTTACCCAAACTGGCACAGGGAAAAGTAAAACACTTAAACAGATTCCTCAAATATAAGAAATCGAGCAGATCATTAAAAAAAATACCAAGAGAAAACAAGTCCCAACTTAGATGATTTCATGAGTGAATTCTATCAAAGACTCTGAAAAGAACTACCAGCAATTCCTTGTACATTAATTCAAAATAGGGAAAAAGAAGGAACATTCCCTGATTTTTCCTATGAAGCAAACAAACCTGATACCAAAATCAGGTAAAGACATCACCAAAAAAAGAAAGCTGACAGACCAGTATCTATCATGAACACTGTTGCAAAAATCCTTAACAAAATCCCACCCAATAAAAAAAAATCCCACCCAATAAAATCCAACAATGTATCAAAAGAATAACTCATAATGATTAAGTGGGAATCATAACAGGCATATAAGGATAGTTCAACATCAGAAAAAAAACTATCAATGTAATCCATCGCATTAATAAAATAAATAAGAACTACATGATCATTTCACTTGACCCAGAAAAGGCTTCTGCCAAAATCCAAAAACCTTTCCTGAGTAAAGCACTCAACACAATAGCAATGGGGAGAATTTCCTCCACATATACATCTCATCCGAGGTCTTCCTCTTCTGCACTCTGTACCCTTCTAAGCATGATAACCTTCTTCAATGACCAGTCCGTTATAGCAACATGCCCAAAGTATGTGAGATGGAGTAACAAAACGCTTCCTGCCAAGGTGCAACCTAGTTTCACCTTCTCCAGGACTGACTTTTCTCCTGGCAATTCATGGTATGTTCAATACTTTTCCCTAACATCACAATTTAAAGACGTCAATTCTTCTGTCATCTATACTCACCATCCAACTCTAAGATACACAGCAAACAACTGAGAAAACCATGGCCTGATCAGGTGTACCTTAATCTCTAGACTGACATCACTGTTCTTTAGCATTCTAGAGAGGTCCCTGACAGCAGACATTCCCAAAGCAACTTGTCTTTTGACTTCCTGACTGCTGGTGCCAAGAGTGTTGATTATGAATCTGAGGCAAGATGAAATTGTTAACTACCTCAATATTTTCTCCAGCTATCATTATCCTGCCAATTGGTCCAGTGTTGAGGGTCTTTTTCACCCCCAGTGAGGTTGAAATGAAGGCAGCAGTTCCTGACCTTTTGCAGTAAACACTTCAAGTCCTTTGTTAGAGTAAGCAAGGTTGGGACGTATGCACAACCTAGGATATGTTGATGAGTCTTCTGTTCTGCATATAGACTGGAAAAAGAATAAAGCCCTGATTCACTTCTTTATAATAAATTTTGAACCATGCAGTGATCTCTTGCTCTGTTAGGATAACAGCTTTCTGGACTAGGTAAAGGTAGGTATCACATGAGCACAATCAAGTGTTCTGGGATTCCCATTCTTCTCAAGGTTATCTACAATTTGTTGTGATCCACATAGTCAAATGTCTTTGCAAAGTAGATAAAACATAAATAGAAATCCTTCTTCTATTTTTTGTTTTCAGCCAAGATCCAGCTGACACTGGCAATGATATTTCTAGTGCCTGATCTCTTCTAATCCCTGCTTGTATTTTTGCCAGTTCTCTTCCAATATACTGTTCTCATTGTTTTGGATAATCATAGACAAGATTTTGCTTGCATCTGATAGCAGTGATCATTTCCACATTCTGTTGGGTCAGCTTTGTTGCACATATTTTGGGCCTGTTGCTAGGAGACATTATTCCCTGGAGGAGGACATCAGGAGGGACGCTGAAAGAAAGTAAGAATCTCAACCAGGTAAGTTGACACAGTGATTGCAGCAAAGGGATAGAGTGTGTCAGAGATTGTGAAAATGGCACAGGATATGACAAGGTTCAGATCTGTTATTCACAGGGTCACCGTGAGTTGTACTTGACTTGACAGCATCTTATAACAAAAATCAGTTATAGGAAGCTCTGGGGGTGAGTCCATAGGGAATTAGGCTGCTAACTCAAAAGCGGAATCACTCCGGTGATTTGACTCTTCCAAGTAATTTTTAATCTCTCTCCACAAGAGAAATGTAAGCAGTCCTTCCTTTGTAATTTATAACCTCAGAAACCAGATGGGGGACTGGCAGGAAGCGCCTCATGCATGCACGGCCATTTAAAAAATTATCTCCAGCAGGATTTTGTTTGCAGAGGAAGATGAAAGACGGTCGTGCAGGATCTCACCGCCTCATGGCCTGCCTTCAGACAACCTCGTCTGAAGTCTTGTGTGAGTCTTTGTTCTACTGCCTTTATTACCTTTTCAACCTTGAGTAGGTCTGTTCACCTCTGGAAGCCCCTTCTCTATCTGTGGAAGGGGAAGGTAATAACACCTACTTCAAGTTACAAACTGACCACCTGGAGAAGAAGGGGGTAATGATGGTGGCTCTAAAGCCACAAGTGTGTCCCGGCCATGGTCCCCAGTAAGGTGCAAGGTCCAGATCTCAGAACTTGGGCAAAGAGGGCTGCCTGGTGTGTATAAGGAACTTCATCTAAGCCACTTCATCTCTTCCTCCAGTACACCTGTCAGTAACACCTCCAAAGCCCTTTTCTTTGTAACTCACACGTTTGTTCTAAGTTTGCTCTTTTTCCCACAGGTAACCTGAACAAGGAATCTTGTTCCAGAACCTGAACCCTGAGCCCAGTTCCAGAGACAAAAGGGAAATATAACTGTCAGCTAAGGAAGTGAAGGTGGATGAGTCTCAAGGTTCAACCTGCCACCCCTACTGGACTAACCCACGCAAAAACCTTGCAGCCAGAAGACAGAAAATGTCATGAAAATATATTCTAACTGAACAAGAAGGCATGCATGCAGCTTCAATGCAAGACCACACAAATGTTAAAGTGGGTTCCCCTTCTCAAATGCCCCTGTTCAGCATGAAGCAGCCAGACTCTACGCTCCTCTTCCCAAATGGGAAACCCCCAAAATAAAGGACAATATCTTTGTTAAAAAAAAATTAATAACAACTGGACTACATACCCACCATTGTTGTTACGTGCTGCTGAGTCACCTGTGACTCATAGCAACCCTACTATGTACAACAGCCCTAGGTCCTGCTTTTTTCTGTACCAATCTTTTTGTCTCTGATATACCTATCCCCATTACCCCCAGTCACTGAATCAATCCATCTCATCAAGGGTCTTCCTCTCTTGCTCTGTCCCTCCACCCTCCCAAGTATGACATCCCTCTCCAAGGACTGATCTTGCCTTGCAACATGTCCAAAGTATGTCAGACGAAGCTTCAGAATCCTTGCCTCCAAGGAGCAGCCTGGCTTTATTCTGTCTTTTCCAGTCCCCACTGGATCTTTCTCATTTCCTTTACCTACTCCCTCCACCCACCATACTGTGCAATCCTGTGATTTTTTTCCCTACCCATCCTCAACCCCCTTCTGCTCCTACCCTTTATCCCCTCGGATCCCCACACATTTTTTATTGTTTATATATACCTATAAAACATGTATATATGTATATAAAACAAAATTATATATATGCATTAAAATGTGTGCATCTATGTATCAAAATTTTAACTGTTGTTATTATGTGCCATCGAGTCGCTTGCGACTCATAGAGACCCTATGTACAAGAGCCCTAAACGCCGTTCTATCCTGTGCCAACCCAGCCATCTCAAACACACTCATTCCCACCACTCCAGCCGCAGAATCGATGCATCTCATCAAAGATCTTCCTCTCCTGCGCCGCCCCTCCACTCTGCTAAACATGATGTCCCTCTCCAAGGACCAGATACTTGCAACATGGCCAAAGTATGTCAGACGAAGCTTCAGAAACCTTGACTCCAAGGAGCATTCTGGCTTCACCTTCTCCAGGACACACCTTTTTTCTTAGCAGTCCATGGTATATTCAACACTCTTCTCCAGCACCACAGCTCAAAGGCATCAATTCTCTATTATCCATGTTCACTGTCCAACTCTCTGTGCATAGCACGAATTGAGAAGACTATAGCCCGGATAGTCTCCAGCCTGACGTCACTGCACTTCAGTACTCTTGAGAGGTCCCTCACAGCCGACTTTCCCAATGCAACTCATCTCCTGATTTCCTGGCTGCTGTTACCAACAGTGTTGACTGTGGAGTTAAGTGGACTAAAACTGTTAACTATCTCAATCTCTTCACCATCCATATTGATGCTGCCAATTGGCCCAGTGTTGAGAATCTTTGTTTTCTTGATATTGAGCTTCAATCTATATTGAAGACTGCAGTTCTTGACCTTCTGCAGCAAGCGCTTCAGGTCCTCCTCAGTTTCAGCAAGCAGGGTTGTGCCATCTGCATAACGCAGGTTGTTGATGACTCTTCCACC